AAGAGGTTTTTTGTTTCAATTATAAAACAATGTGGGTAAATGCCTTGGGTTTGACAGCACCAAAAGAAAGGGAATATTGTGCTTATGCCTTCAATCAGCTTTATTAGATCCTTAAAGGGAAAATTATGTGAAAGGCAGAGGAAGAAAACAACAAGCTAAGCAAGATCGCAATTTCAGTATAATTCGGAGAAAATAACTGATTTAGGTTGGTCGTCTTGCCAGGGTGAATGACTCAAGGCTTCCAAACAAGAAATGGAAACCAGAAGGATAGGGAAAGCCTGCAAGAACAAATTGAGAAGATGTGATTGACTGTAATGTTTCAAAATCAACTGCTGCAAAGATGAGTTTGGGCTCTTGCCCAGAATACAATTGAATGGTGATGTTCATTTAGACCCTTAATGCTGAAACAAAATAAGATGTAGCTGTGTTTCTGTTAGAAATTTATTTGTTCTTTCCAGTGTCTCTAGCTGGGGATATGATGTCATCTCCTCTTTCTTCTATCAGACCCTGCAGTGATTGCTGTTGCTGCTGTTTCATAATTTTTCTGAACACTAGTTTTTTGAAGGAAGGCTTGAGTCCAGGTGATAATATCTCTCAAATGTGAAATGTCATCATTGTTCATTGAAAAAATTTGAAAAAAATGCATACTCTATGAGCAAATAGGCTAACTCAATTGGCTAAGCAAAGCAAGATAAGATTGTTGTGTGTGTGTGTACTTTTTGACTGGCAAAGCCAGTCAAGTTTTTGTTACTATCATGCTAGTTTTTTTAATTAAGTAAATGGTTCATCCTGCAAAGATTGAAATAACTCTCTTTAATGGGTACAATTTGTAAAATGTTATTTGTAAAAGTTGTAGGCAGCTGCTTGTCCTCCACCTCAGGCACAGGAGGTTCCAAAAGCAACTACACTTTATGCAAAAAATTAGTCAGTTGACAATGGGCAGTGATGGGATGGCATTGTCTTCTACTTCCTCTTTTCATTTATTCCTTTCATCTTACTGGCTGTGCTTACTAACCTTTTTTCTGTTTCTATTTCAAATCAGGAAGGGAAAAAACCCTAAACCACAGCTCATAATTAAATACCGAGCTAGCTCTTACCATGTTTACTGAATTACATATTGCATATATGGATGTATATCCTCAAAGTTTCATGTGTTTTTAGATTTCTAAACTTAATGTGTTCCATAGGAATAGACCTTAACTCCTTCTTGTCTGTTTTCCATGAAGAGATTTGCTTCCAAAGAGGAAGGAGGAATAAAGCAGTGAAAGCCACTTATGTGGCTATGAAATCCTTCACATTTTAGGGATTCATAGAGCCATGAATATGGTAACTCAGCTCTGCAGATTCTCCTGGTTCACAGTAGAGGTTCCTCCAGCAGAAAGTCTTCAGTGTCAGCCTTACAATAAGCGGATCAGCCTGACATCAGGTGCAGAGTGGTATCTTTGCACACCTATCTCTGCTGCAGTGCTCCTGGTAAAGTCCTTAAAAGAGAACTTCAAATCAGGAGCCCTGAGTGGGGGGAGTTACTGCAGCTCTGAGGGAGCGATGGAGCCAAGCAAAGCCCCTGGGGTGCTGTGAACCACGGGGAACACACCGGGGATAAACAGGGCTCAGCTGGGGTCACCTCAAGGATTTGCATGTGAGTGAGGAAGTTTCTCTGAAGAGCCTGCACACCAGGGCACACAGCATGGGACACAAACATGAGGAGATCTGTGTGCTGCTGCAGGGGTAGGATCTCATCAGGATCCAGGGATACAGTGAATGCACCGAGTGCTGCTGTGGAGGGATGCAGGCTGCTTAGGAAGGGCTGGCCAGGAAGACAACTGCAGTGCATGGAGCTCTGCCTTCAGTTGAATGATGAGAATAGAAGACATGCACATAACATAAAGAGTTCAGTTGAAGGACAACTAAAATGATTAAAGGACTGGAGCACTTTTCACATGAGAAAAGACTGAGAGAGACAGAACTGCCTGGAGGAGAGAAGGCTAAGAGGAGAATCTGGAAGTACCTAAAGGAAAGGTCTCAGTGACAGGACCGGAGGCATGGACAACAATGGACATAAAGTGAAGCACAAGGGGGTCCATATGAACATCAGGAATGTGTTCATTTTTACTATGAGGGTAACTAAGGACTGGCACAGGCTGCCCAGAGAATTTGAAGTATCTCCTTCCTTTAAGGAAGTATCTTTGGAGATACTTAGAAGCTGTCTGGACATGGTCCTGGACAACTGGCTCTAGGTTGCCCTTCCTGAGCAAAGGGTTGGGTCAAGAGGTCCCTTTCATCATCAACTTTTCTGTGATTCAGAAGCAATGGATAATTGCTTTTCATATTTTTAGTTCCCATTTCTTTAGAACTTTCAAATAATCCACTGCCTGGTCTAATGGTGGCCTGAATTACTGGTGTTTCAACATTGACTTGTGGTTTAATGCTGGATTGCTCTTTAGGAGCTGCTAACTGCCTTGCAATTTTGCTAAGATGACAAATGTACTGCTCAAATTCCTAGTATATCCTTTCTACATTCTCTCTGAAAAGTTTTCTCTAAGATCCTCAGAGACTGTGGAAATGTTACAAGGCTTATATATCCAATAGCTGCATGCATTTTGAATATACAAAAAGGCAGCCTGGAAAAGGAACCTGTTCTGCTGTGTCAGACTGGGTAATGGTGCAGCATGTTTTTAAAACTGACTTTTTGTTCTACACTGCATTTTTCTCTGCTTAGGCATTTCTTACTAATGAACAAATCCAGACTGAGTCTCACTTTTTGTAGTGAGAGCTACACCAGTGAGTAAAGCACTGGAAGACATTAACTCTCCAATTCCAGTCATGTGGAGGAGTAGAAATTGCAAGCGGGATGCCTGTTGTAGATATGCATGCAGGGGTTTAGACTGAGCTGAAAGGAAGTGTTTACAGGGATCTGTGTTCTTGTAGCTGATCCTACTTGGACCTCAGTTTCAGTTTGAACTCACATTAGAATGTATAAATCACCTTTTTTAAGGCATTTCACATTTAAATTGCTTACTGAATCAGCAATATGCTCTGCATATGTATGAACCATTAAAGACTAAAATGGGCCCAGCACTAAGAATAGAGACCAAGAATAAGACCAAGACCAGGCTGGATGGGGCTCAGAGTAACCTGGTCTAGTGGACGATTCCCTGCTTATGGCAGGCAGGTTGGAGCTAAATTATTTTTAAAGTCCCTTCCAACCAAACCATTCTATGTTTCTATGTTGTATGATTCTATGGATCCATTATATTTATATTGTTATAGTCATATCTATAGGTATCTGTAGGTATATCCATATCTATATTAATAGATACATAAAGGTATATTTGTATGTTTATGTTTGGGAAGTAAGACTTTGGGAAAATTTAAACATCTGATGACAACTGAATTCCTTAATCTCCTACTTTTCAGTAGTTTGTCATGAAACCATCATTATGTTAAATGCTCAAAGTGTCCTTTTGTTGTGGACTGGAGTTCAAACATTGCTTTCTTCAGAGTAAGGATATGCCCAACCCAGAGCATATTACAAGGCCTAAATTACTTTATTTATGTTGGAGAAGCCCAAGCAGAGAACTCCAGAGAAGTGTTTGAAGAAGGATGGGCAAAATGGTATCGCATTTGTAGTATTTTAAATTCACATGGGGAATATGAATTTATTGTTTTCTTTTGACATGTAGAGATCAACTGTAGGAGAATCTATTGATGTCATGTCTCTTACACACTCTGCAAAAATATTTCAAATATGAGGCTGCTTTAGAAAGATGAATCATCACATTCTGACATCACCACCTTTCAACATTTTTAAAAACACAAATGCTTTACTTTAGGTAATTTTTTTTTGTGTGTAGACAGAATCCTCTTACAGTCCTGAATAAATGTGTATACATTCTGAAGATGGACAAATTGGAGGATATATTCTTGTTGGCTAACAAGGTAACTTATGACCTTAAGCTAAGACAGGAACATCACAAATTAGATATTGAAAAGCTTTTTTTTTTCATTGTTAAGGTGGTCAGACATTGGAATAGTTTGCCCAGAAAGGTGGTGGAGTCACCATCCCTGGAGGTGGTGATCATTCTATGATTCTTCTTGGTGATTCCATTAAATTCCTTTCTGAACTCTCACCATGCACTATCCAGGTTAGTGTGCAGACCTAGCAGACAAGCACTGTGTCTATTTCTACCCCACATGGGGATTTTGAAAACTGCTTGTCATTTAAAGCATTCCCAAGACCCAGCATTGTGTATCTACACTGGCCTTATAAGCAGAGCTCAGGCTGCCTGAAAATGCCATGTGTGCTGGCATGCAGCAGGCTGTAGATAGATAGATAAGAGATATAGATACACACATACAGCAACAAGATACTGCCCAAATGTTTTTTCCCAGATGAAATATATACATTCTGTCATGGATCTCTGAATGGGTAACTTAGGTTAAAACTAAGTTGCTAAAAGAAAAAAACTTATTGCATTTTGAGACATGTTTAAAACTAAACTGCAAAATATGTCTCAGCTAGCATCTGAAGATGAGAAAGAAGTGTTTTTGTACACAACTTGCTGAATTCACAGTTTTTTACAATCCTATATTTTGTGATTTTGTGACTTAAATTTCTGATGTAAACATTGTGTGGTGATGTAAATTTCTGATGTGAACATTGCTGTGGTAAGCAAATTAAAACAATGAAATAATACTTCTTTTTCATTGTCAAAAATGTTCCTCACTTTTTAAATAGAATTTCTTATATTTCAGAAAAAAGTTGATTGAATTTTTACGTATTTATTGCTGATTTCTTTATATAGTCTCACCAGCACATGATATAGTTGGTAGTACATTAGTTGTTTAGCAAGTAAGCATAGAGTATCATTATTTGTCTGTATGCCTGGAAATGCTGAAAGTTTAATTGCTTTACTCAAAAGTGAAAATAGAATTGGCAGTATGGTATTGATATATTTTTTATCCATACGAAAATAATTTCTTGTTTTTTTCTTCAATAGATTACTTGGCTTCTACAAAGGAATACTTCCTCCCATTTTGGCTGAGACACCTAAAAGGGCAGTGAAGGTAAAAACCCCATGCTTCCTCCTTTAAAAGTATAACTAGGGACAGTGGCAGCTGTAAAACATTTTATTTCTCCCCCACTGACTGAGATTAGAATCTTAAACTTATTTGGCATATTAATCCTCTGATTTTTACTAGGAGGAAAGTTTCCTGTTGATAGCACAATAAAAACTGTCCTTGATGAAGAAGTGTAGGATAAGGCTCGTAAACATTAAGCTAATTTTGACCTGTGTATCAAATGTTACTGAAAAAAAACGTTGCAATTATTTTATATTGTCAGAATTAATAAAATGTTTAAGTTATATTTTAGCCTCATAAGTGCCTCTGGTTTACATATTTTGTTTTACTAAAAATGCCTAGCAACTTGCAAAACAACTAACAGCTTAATAAATTAACACAAGAAGCCATTAAAGAAGCCACTAATAAGTACTTATTTAGTAGGTTTGAAGTGCTGCCCAGAGTTTTTTTGTGCTCCAAAGAGCACTCTGCTCAATACTCGATCTTTTTAAGAGATTGGAGATCGTAATGGATACAACTCCTCATTGTGCAAAACATTTTACTCCAGCTCTCTTACAGTTATAGAGGCCAGCCTATCAAAGTGTATTTTCTGTCAAATGCTGATCTGATTTTCTTTTATTATCCTTTATTTTGATTTTTAGAACAGGATTTTAGTAACATTCCTAAGCTAAATACTTCAATTCATCAATTTTTTTCAGTTGAGCCATTCAACATTTTTAATTAAAACCTAGTTATTAAGCGCATCATTCTAAAGTTATAAATCTATCAAAGCAGCCATTGTGTTAAGAGCAAATGTTTCTTAGTCTTTTACTTCAGGACTTTGAAGTTTCCATAGTTGCAACAAATGTGTCTAAAAGCAGTTATTATACAGAATGTCTTGATTTTCCTTTCTTTCTTTTTGTTGTTTCTTTCTAAAAAGGCTGCATATGATTCTGGTCCTTAGTCTGCAATTAATCATTCACATTCCAATTCCTTTACAGAGGAATAATATTTGTATAAAGTGACAGGATGTGACCTTGTAACAGAATCCTAAAGGAGTTCTGGTAATGTCATCTTCTTGTTTGCACTGGCATTTTAGATACAAGTGACATATGTCACTTATCTCAAAATTATTTAATTAAACCAGGAAAACTAAAGTCCTATTTGCAGTCCCACTGCAAAGTGGCAGTGAAGAATAGATGGATAATATTTAGAAGATTCCTAATAATTCATTTTCTTCATATTGTGATGCTTCCTCTGTCTCTCTGTTTAATTTCATTTGAAACAGGATAAAGTAAATCTAACTATGCTTTTTAGATTCCAGCATGTGTTAGTTAAAATACTTACCCATTTGATTTCTCCTACCATTTTCAGTCATTCATAAACTTCAAATCACTTTCCTTTACTCAAATTTATTAAATTTGCTTAAACCCCATGATATTCAATATAATTGTAGAATCATAAAAAGATTTTCAGCTGGGAAGGATCTCTGATCAAAGCAGAGCTGACTTCATGGTTACATCAGGATGTTCAGATGCTTGTCTAGTTGAGTTCTGAAATCTTAAAGAATGGAGACTGCAGCCTCTCTGTGCTCGTCCTCCAGTCCTTAATTCTTTTACTGTGAAGAATTTTCCCTTATATCCACTCCAAATCCTCCTGTTGCAACCTTTGTGTGTTGCCTCTCATGCTTCTGTTTCCAGCCTCTGAGAAAGTCTGACTTTTCTGTATAAAATTTGAATGGTGGAAAACAGAACTTAAATCACCTTAGTTTTCTTGTCTCCAGGCTAAACAGACTCAGTTCTCTCAAACTCTTTTACATCAAGAGCTCCTGGCTCCTTTATTGTCTTACTTGTCCTCTCTTTGTGGGATGCTCTCTACCTAGTTTTTGGACATTTATGTGAGAGCTGAGTTTTCTGCAAACATAAGAATCAAGCTTGAATGTTAAACATGAGAGGGTTTTAATTTAATAGTTGAATTCTTTTATTATTTACAATATTCCTTTAAATTTGCTGCTGCTCCAAGGACATCAGGATAATTTTTTGAGACATCAGCTGAATTTTACATTAGAAAAATTCAGTGAGAGAACAGGGCTGAACAATAATGTAAGAACCTGTATAATGGAACAGTTCAATGTGAGATGTCATAGGCCAGTACAATTTTTAACATCCATAGTGGAATTTGTACCCACGCTTTGACCTGAAGAGAATCCAACCTATCTCAAATTTCCACTAACCTTATTTGGCTATGACCCCAAAGGAAAAATCATTGCTTTCTTTGGCCCACCCTCCAACCTTTATTCTTCTGATAGTTTTCCTCATTGAAGCAAGCCTCAAGCTGTCCCTTCCTGACTGCCTAAATGACTAGTGAGATTTAGAGGAAGACTACATTCAGACCAATGATTCTGAGATTTGAGAAAGCACAAAAGGAAAAGAGGCATTTTCTAGGTTCCACTAGCTTCTTTTATGTTGGTAATGAAGTTTTTTGAAAGCTTCTAGTTATAGTGTCATAAAAGTGAGTAGAGAATAGACAAGGGAGATTTTGTACTAAGAAGAAATGTACTTGTGCTACTGGAATATTCTATTTATCTGGTGTGTATTTTTGCAAGTAAAAATAAAGCTATTAAAATGAAGTTATTTAGCCCCAGTTTTTCAGTTAAGTGTTGAAGATAAAGCTTCATTTTTAGTCAACTATGTTCCCAAGTCTGTCTTACTATTTCTTTTTTTCTCTCTTTTTATTTCCTTTCTAAAAAGAAAGCTGGTATTTCTGGAAGATGAAAAGTCAGAGTTTATAACTTTCTGTTAGATTGAACTTGGAGGAAAGAAATGATGGTGCCAATACAATGGTTAACAGATGAACTTTTGGGGCAAATTTATATTGCTCATGTGTTCCCAGACATCTTGTTTCAAGCATATATTTTTATCTTAGCATTATTGAGACATCTGGTAAGTACTTTGGCTATTTTCTGTGTAACTTCAATTAAAGTATATCTTTGCCAGATGGACAATATTGGTTACTATATACACAAAAGCATGTTTTAAATACGCTTATTCTGAGAAATTTTTTTGCACAAAGCGATTAACTTAATGCAACTGTAGAGGAAAAGACAAATTATGCTGTGTTTTTAAAAACATTTTAGGTGGATGCATATAAAGTCATATGACACAGTATGAAATCATTTTTTGAAAAATTGTATGTATACTAGCCACTCTAGTACACCCAGCAACATTTATATTAAATTTTATTGCTAGTGATTTTTTCTTTTAAAAATTATTTAAAGCATAGTTACTATTAAGTAGTTATTTTATTTATGACTCTAGGAAGCTATTGATTTTAAAGTAACATTTTAAAGACCAAAAAAATTGCTAGGTAATGTAATTCTGCATTTATTACAACTATTTTACAGATCTGTAACACTATGGAAAACATTAAGGAATACCAGAAATTCCATTAAAGGTTAAGAGGGTAACAATGACTAGAAAGATGCTGGAGAGAGAATAAAGCAAATTTTATCACAATAAGAAATTAATTTAGTTCAGTTAAGCAGCTTACCCTCCCACTTTGGTAGACTTCTATTATACCTTCAAAAAGATAGAGCTAGAGTTTAAGTAACACTTCTATCTTTTTTGATTATTGTCAGGGCCAATGCAAACATTTTAAACATATTTGCAAGATGCTTGCAAGGTTAATGTTCAATCTTTACACTCTTTGGCAGGTAGTCAAAATCTGGATCCCAGCTCTAGGACCTTTTCTGCAAAATGATATAATAATCCCAGCTGAGGATATAAAAAAATATCTGTCCAGTAACCAGAGTACCAGCCCATCAGTTTCCAGAATTTAACAACCCAATTTTGCTTATGTATACATATCCGCTCTTGCTTTAAGACAGTGGCATTATTAACACATTTACACCCAATTCTCAGATGGTTTTGGTATGATTCTAGTGACTTTTCATTTGAAGCAGGTCTTGATTGAAAAATTTTATTGACTTTGCCATAGGACAAGGTTCTAAACAAGTTCAAATGAAAATGTGGTGCTTATTACTTATGTTCCTGTACACGTGGTTTATGGAATAGCTGCTTTGTTCTGATAGGTCTGTAGTACTGAACCGTGAGGGACAGAGCTTGTCTTCTTTAGCTGAGACCCTGCACAGGCCACACAGTCTTTCTCACTTGTCTTAAAAACTCTATTCCCTTATGTTTCTTATGATTCCCACATCTCCATTGGCCTCATTGCTCATTGCCTTCCTCTCAGGGTGAAACAGTTTGGTTGTCTCATGCATCAGCAGATGCTGTGCGGAGGGATTTTAGTCCCCTCTGTGGTCACAGAATTCACCAACATTCCAAGGATCCCATCTTCATTTGAACCAGTTTGCTCTGAACTAATCACATGTCACAGGCCAACACTGGAAAGCAGACAGGAGAGTTAAAAGTTCTGCCTATTTACTTTTGCTAGACTGGGATGTGACAGCTCTTGTACTAGGACATATGAACCTGCACTGATGCAGTGTTGGTGCAACTGGGACAGGTTTTTGTTCTTCATTCCCATCATGCCAGACATGCTGTGTAACAGCTACTTTATTTTGCATGCAAAGATGTGAATGTTTCTTAGACAGATTACAGGACTCACAAATAGCAAGCTGTGGTTAGGGACCTTGTGTTGTTCCATGTGTGAAAACTATGTGGAATAACACCTCCAATGTTTTTGGTGTTACCTAGAGTTCAAATACCTACTCTTTTTAGCCCACAATTTCTGCCACCCTCATGCTAGAGGATCATTTTCACTGCACTCAGATCTGTCTTTTGTGATAGCAACTAGACTGCTTTTCCAGTGACTTCAGTAAAATGTTTGCAGAATATGAATTTAAGACACTATGGGGTTTGTTCTGTAATCTCCTTCATAAACTTATCAAACTCTCCCATTCACAACATAAAGATTTTTCCCCCTTTCTCTTCTTGGAAGACTGTTTCAAGATTCTTTTAGTTGCTAGAAAGCTTCATCAGCTCTCTAGTCACATTCTATTTATATTTTGCTTTTACACCTACTTTCTTTATCCTACTTATCTTTCTTTACACCTACTTATCTTCCTTGTGCTACATTCTCTTGCAGCATCTCTTTTGCTAAACTAAACAAGGAAAGCAGTCATTCTCCTTCAGTCTTCGTTCTTTAAGCAACCTCTAACTTGTCCTTATTGGTCCTGGTTGCCCTGTTTTGAATATGATGTAATCTGAGTTGGTTTTTAAATAGTAACCTAGATTGTGTGTTGTATTTCAGAGGGCACCTTCCCAATAATTTGTAAAATGTCACATATACTCTTTCTCTAGTGTATATCTTGACCCATGTATCTTAGACTTCGTGTCCACAGACAAGGAGCTAGGCAGCAAAAGTCTGTTTGCCTGTGCCAACAGGAAGCTTCCTCCTGGCTTCAGTGCAGTCAGAGCTATTCTAAACCTTCTTCTTGGAAGAACAAATCCATTCATTTATTATGCTTTCATTTTTATAAGAATTCACAGAAGTAATTCTTAAAACTAATGGGTTTGGGTGTCAAGACATGGTAGGTTGCAAAGTGAGCCTTTGCAAATGCCTTTCACCATGTTGGTGCAGGTGAAGCTGATTTTACTTTTTTCTTGAGATTCAAACACCCATGAGCTTTTGAGACATCCTCTAAAGGATTGCAGATGCTCTGAACTTTGAAGTGCCACTGTTTGAAAGCAGACAATTGACTGAAAGATTTATTTGTAAAGAGAAAACAGGAAAAAAAATGTACCTGTTGACAGTAGAAGATTATGAAAAGGGCAGACTTTCCATCTTCAAAATACACAATTATATCTCTCTGATGAGAAGCAGACTAGTGCTTGAGAAATGCAGAAGTGATTGCATCACATTACATTAAGAATGTGGGGGTGATTTCTTGGTAAAACTGTAATATCTGCTACTACATTTACATTAGTATATAAAAGTTAATGCCAGAGGAAAATTTTATGAATTTAAATTGGTCCTAAATGATGTAAGTGAACTCTTAGATGAAGCACTACTTGAATTGCATTTATGCTGCTGTTATGCATGACACACTAATAAAATCAGTTCTGAAGCCTGATTGTCTACTCTTGCACATCTAACACAGCTACAGAAAGTGTGAAATAAAAGTGGCTTACGTTTATTTTGCAGAACTGTGTGCAGCTGCTCAGGATATGAGGTAGTTAAACTCCATTGTAGTCTGCTTTTTACTAATTTGTATAAGTAACTAATAATTTTTTTCAATTCAATTTCAATCTATCTTCTATTCACAGTTTTTTACCTTTGAACAATACAAGAAGCTTCTGGGATATGCATCATTGCAACCAGGGCTGGTATGTATGGATACAGAACTTTGTGTTCTGATATAATATGTGTCTGCTGAACAGTCTGTCTCATCTGCTTCCTCCCACAGAAGAAGCCCAAAATTAAAGGGTCCAGCTCAATCCAGAGTTTTTTAAAACAGACCTGTCCCTTGATAAAAAAATATTGATAAGAATATATCAACATTGATAAATTATGTTTTGTATCAAATGTCCTCAAAATAATTCCCTACAATATCTTAACATTCATGAACATGGATGACAACAGCCACCATGGAAGAGAATGTATAAGCTTGTCATTCTTAATTCTTATGAAATAACATAAAAAGTTGAACATTATCAATATTTATTTATTCATGTCATTGTGTATAGTTTAACACTTCAACCTCACAGTGCTATTCTCCAAGGCACAGTACACCTATAGCAAAAATAGAGATCTCAGTCTTATTTTAAAAACTTTATAAAAGAAACAATTATTGATAAGAAATTGCTACTTCCTTTGAAGTCCTTTGCTACTTTTTAAGTTAATATGTTAGCATTATGTGCTTAATGCTCAGTTCAGGGATTTTATTTTTTCCAGTGCTGCATAACTACACTTATATTTGTGTTATTATTCAGAGTCCACCCAAAGATAACATGAGGACATTCTTTTGCCACTTTTTCCATGTTTGCGCAATAATTTGGTACCATATTTTCCCTTCCAGCTGAAAAGAGAATACATGGACATGAAGTGCTACAATATTTTGTTTTGATTGTTTTGGAATATGGTTTATGGCTATTGTCATATTGTCTTCATGAACTGTCAACATCTATCAAGGGCTAAAGTTGTTTAGCAATAGAATACTGCTGCATTACTGTAGTCTTGCAGTTTGCATTGTATCCCTCAGTTTCACAATCTGATGTAGAGGAAGTATTACTCCTTAATACTCAATTTTCATTTGAACTTTCCTAGGCATTTGCAATTGCTGGCTTGGGATCTGGGTTGACAGAGGCAGTTGTGGTTAACCCATTTGAAGTAGTGAAGGTTACCTTACAGACCAATCAGAATGCTTTCACACAGGTAGGAAAACTGCTTCCTTCTCCTTTTTCTATTTTATTTAGCATATTGCATTTTGAGGTTCATATTTAGAGCAGAATGTCTGTAATATATTGGTGGATGCAAATGATTTCCCCACAAGCTCAACAGAAATGGAAGAGACCCAATAGCCACTGCCCTCAGGTATGCAGAGATGCCTGCAGTATTGTCAGAAGCATCAGCACCTCCCCTGTAAATATTCTGTGCCTGAAATGCACCTTCACTCCTCCTGAGCAGCCAGCAACCCAGCACTGTGAGGAATTGCAATCCAGGAGTACAAACCTGAGCCCCTTGGACACAGCACATTTACCCCAGCAAGCTCCAGATTTCAAGTGAGCCCTGGAGGTTAGCATAAAACACCACAGCCTGTGCCCTAGACAGAGTCCAGCTGCTGTACTTTATGCAATGTTTCTTGGATGAAATTACTTACAAGACTTCACTTTTATTAGCACAAACTGGAAAATTGTTATATAACAAGTACATTGATAATTTAAATTCTTGCCCAACTTCAGAGTTTTGTTATTCAAATATTGTTCTGTCCAAAGGAGTAATTGCACAAAACATTGGCCACGATTCTGGGTACTGCTGAAAGGGGGAAAATATTAAACTGGAAAACAGTGATTCATGAAAATCAAGTGTTCTCAGGAATGCATTGGTTCTATTAATTTTAATGCAGAACATGTTCCAGGATAAAGGGAAGGAAGACAGTAATGAAGTTCCTTTTTCCTTTACTCATTTATGAAAAATAGCAATTGTCAAACCATCTTTTTCAAAATCTTTTGAGGAATCAGCTGTACCATGGTAGAAGTGCCAAATCACATTAAGCATTCACATGAAAAGGTTAGCTGAATCCCTGGTGGGACATGATTTTTGCATATTCTACTATTAAGTTTTGACTGATTTAATACTTGCATGCCTTGTAGCACTCATCTGCACAAATTGAACAGTTTTGGGGGCTGCACAGTAAAGAGATTTATGACCTGGCCATTTACATAATCTGTTGGGGCCAAGCTCCTCAGGTACACTCTGGAAAAATACAGCTACTGATTTCTACATGTCATAGAGTAACTGGTACCTACTCCATAACTCATCCAGAAAAGCACTTTCTTCCAGAATAAATTTTAAAATGTTTGGTATACTCCTGTTCAATTCTCAATGCATATGAAAGACATGTTTATTTGCTGCAAGTCTCCAGTCTAGACATTTTTTAAACTTGGGCAGCAAAGCCACTGAACAGATAAATAATGCAGAGCAGGAGTTTAGGATCCTGGAAGAAGAGAGACTGAAAGTAGGAAAAAGCAATGTGTGAGAGGATCTGTCTCTCAAGAAGATGATGTGATAAAAGTTATTAACTATTATTCCTCCAGCAGTAGTGAACAGATATTCTGGATCTTTCTGTTTCACAGTTGTGAAGATGTAATTATCCTAGCTTAAAAAAAGCTTTTAAGTATACACAAACCACCATTATATTTTGAACAAACTATTCCTTGTAAAGTTGAAAAAGACCAATGTATCCTTTCACTTCATACATTTTAGTTTTTTCTCTACTGCAAAATTTATAAACCACCCCAAAGTCTGGGGTAGTTTAGTTTGTATATTTTAGCCAATTATTTTCTTTCGTTACAGCACCCCTTCCTTGCTGACCTTCAGAATGATACAATAATCAAACTGTAGCTGTCCAAAAGCATTCTGAGTTGTTTTTGTTCAGGTGAATATTCTCTAATTTAATTCAAATGCAAAATTTCACAAAATACAAATAATAGTATATTATCATACAAATAAAATTGTGACAGAATGGTATTTGGACCCTACTAGAAACCTAGTTTACATTGAAAATATTAACTACTTGCTCTACGGAAAAAAATCCAAGCAAAATTAAGTTCTTAAATCACGAAGATTGTTCTATCACGGACATGTTAATTTTTAATATATCTTTCCAAAGTGTTAAACTTCAAAATTTGCTGTAAATTATAAAAAGCTCCAGTGATTTAATACCTTGACATCAAGTTCTCATTAAGAAAATGTTAAAGAACATTCCACAATAAAGCATGTAAACTCAAGCCCATTGGAAGAAGCATGTCCAGAGGTTATATTATACGGCACAAGGCATTACCATGCACTGTTTTTCTAAAAAGTTTAAGTAAAGTGTGTACCTATCCCATTGTGGAGCTTTCATACTACATGATGAAACCTAATGCAATTCACATATTTCTTTGACTATTGTATAGAAATAATAAATATATCTTGTTTAAAAGGAACAAGGAAGAGCATGAGCACATACACTCACACCCAGACTCCAGCACACCCCCAAAGCAAATATTCACACCCTGCAGTGACAGCTGAATTGTTCTGTGGTAGCAGATCATCTTTCCAGGGTTGAGAGATTTAAAGAGGAAGGCCACTACAAATCACGTATCAGCCCTTTTGTAATGTGGATTGCTGTGGGTAAAAATAATGGTGGCTTTTTGTTAAAGTAGACTGCAAGAAGTCCAACACCATGTTGTTTGGTTTTCCTTTTTTTTTTCCCTTTCCCTGTAGCCTTGGATAACTCACTGGCTATAGAAGCTGGTGTGATGATTAAAATCTTCTCACCTGACATAAGAGTTATGATTAATTAAACAAATACACTTTTCTGCTTTATGATGAGAAGAATCTGACTCCAGATTCCACTGCATAGGTCTATATTAAGTAAGAATCAACAGCTATGTGAGGTGCATTAACTCCAGATGTTTGTACAATAAATTCCTCTGTCTAAGGTCCTTCCATCATCAATGATGAACCGCAAACCTTCTATGGCTTGATCAGTTGACATGATGACACCTCCTTTGGTAGAAGGGAAGTGCTGCCAAAGAGAGTCCTCTTTGTTACTATAGGACTGAAAAGGGAAGTCAGGTGTAGACATTGCAGATGTCTATATTTGGGCTTATTAATCCCATCTCAGGTGTTCAGCAAGTGAGAGGCTTCGCCTCTAAGGCATGAGTAAATCCGTACTCAAGACAAGGGATACCAGGGGATACCTTAATATTGAAGGTTGCAGTATTATTTCTTAAAGATCTAATGTCCATTCTTGGAGCACAAAAAAGGATGTCATTGCTAGTACCCGTGTTTTGCATTTCTGTTTTAGAATAGATTCTGACTTGAATTCTTGGGAGCAGATAGAAAAGTAAACTCCAGTAAAATATATGCAGAACATTAGCAGGATAATATTAGTTGCAAAATATGAAAAAAAAAACCAAAATGAAACTTTGTATTAAAGATTAAACTCATCAGTCACCTAAATAATTGGTAATATGCTGTGTCAGATATAGTAACATCATTTGGCTGATGCTGTGGATCTACCACAGTGGTATTTTGAAATGGAAAGCTGTTAAACAAATAAGTATATTGAAATTAGTGGTATTCACAGTGGTGTAGTCAAAATTCTTCTATATTTTCATGTTTGAACCTCCTAGTGGAAGTCATGTTTTGCCTTTCTAATTATAGATTTGGTTACCCAGAGCTTTATGGCTTTATGGCTTTTTTTGGCTTTCTACTTTGGAGAAAGCCAAACTCTAATCACCAACTTTTTGGAAGTAATGTTTCTATAAAGCTGCTAAAAATGTAAAATATTCAGAAGGGGAATAGCTAATTCTGAATATCATGGTATATTCAAAAAAAGTTCAAAGGTGCATGTAGTCAGGCAGATTCTGTCTGATATGAGACAGTTTCTTCCTTTTTGTCTTTTGTGAAATGAAAATCTGTTACAGTACTACTCTTTTACAGTACTCAAGTCCTGCTTACATCTTATTCTGCAATCAGAAAAATGAGGAATCTTTTTTTAATTAAAGTTTTGTTTTTTATTGGTCACAGGAAAGGGAAAATAACAAATACGGTGATACTTAATATAAAATTATAAGAATAGGCAACACTGTGTTTGTCAACAGCATGGAAATTATGCTATGTTTATTGTTTTCTTTTTGTAAAGATGATCTCTTCCTTCTTTTGCTTAACTTGTGTAGCAACCATCTAGCTTTGTTCAAGCTCAGCAGATCATTAAAACCGGTGGTCTTGGCTTCCAAGGACTCAACAAAGGCCTCACTGCAACACTGGGCCGTCACGGAGTTTTTAACATGGTTTACTTTGGATTCTACTTCAATGTGAAAAACATTCTTCCAGTCAATAAAGTAAGTTCTTCATACAATGCAATAGACAATCGGATAAGAAGTTTGACATTTTTATTCACACTATTTTTCTGTGCAAAGCTGTGGTATTTAGTGATCAACACTGACTAACCTAGCTCTATTTTGCAGAAATCCATAGCATTTTAATGGAAGCAAATTAAGGACTCAATCTTCTCACTTTTTAAGCAAAGCTGAGTGTAGTCATATTTGAATGATCATTTTTATGAATTCCCCTTTATAGCATGGTAGCAAAAAGGCAGCAAATGAGATACAGACATGTTGGGTATGTATGCAATTTTTTTGTGGAAAACCGGCCTAGAAGAGAAAAATCAGTTTCTAGAAATTCTGTCAGTACTCACATAGGGGCTAAGCTTGCAGAGCTGCAGGATTTAGGTTATTTTGGCCAGGCACAGGACCTATTTACTCAGAGAGTTCAACCTAGTATTGAAGGATGACAGGGAAGTTTCATCCTTATGGCAAAGAGACAGTCCAAAAGAGGATGTAAAGGGTCATGCACAGGGACTTTATATCATTTATAATTAAGGAAAAAATCATTATAGCTGTAATTTCACTTAAAGAAGTTTTGATAGTCCTATATTACTTTAAATAACAAAGGAAGCAAATATTCCCTTTACAACAAAAGGAAATTTTACAAAAGAAAACGTGGTAATATCAGCAACTTTTGAAATGACTGTGTGAGAAACAACTAATGGTTTATTAATGATTCCAGTATGCTACTTATTGAAGTCTGTTTTTACTAATGTGATTTTTAGATGATGACAGTTAAACAGTCACAGGTGTAATATGCAGTGATATACATGTAAGAAGGTGCAATTCACATCAAAAGGGATCATTTTCTATTCCCATATGAAGTAACACCTCTTTTTTTTTCTGCACTTCTGAGTAGCCTGGTATTTTTGTTGGCAGCGTTGTGTAAATGGAGAAAACCTCCACTTCTTATTTGCAGATTATTACAGTAAATTGAATTGTTCAAGAGCAGCTGACCCACAAGTTTCTACAAGTTTCTTACAGTGTATCTAAGCATATTTTACAGCGCACTATAGTCACACATTCTAAGACTCAAGGCGCAGGAACAGCTTGTTACTAAGATAGGAGTAAACACTTTTGTGTTGATCAGAAGATTAAAAAATTATAATCACTATGCAGAAAATTCAGGAAAATATGCAGGTAAGGACAGAGACTAGTGTGTAGCTTCTGTGGGAATCATGGGAAATGTTCTTGCATAGGAATTGAACAGTAAGCATGTTGAACAGTAAACATGGCATAAGCATGCTTTCCTAGCCTTTCAGATTTTAAAAAATAGGAAACAAGTATTACATTATTTGAAAGATCCAGAGCTTTATGATCTAAAGGAAATTGGTACTTTATACAGATTTTGTATGATGCAGAAAAATTTTAACATCTACAACATGGGTTTAAATATATGTAGAAAACAAAAGGGAAATTACTTCAATGTCAGCCAGTGACCCAGCTGTCCTCAAATATTAGCAAAATGAAAAGGCAATTTAATCAGTGTGGGATTAACTGCAAAAAAAGTGGGGTTTGCCTGATGCTTAACCACTGCACAGTGCCTTACATGGTGGCTTGCACAGTGGCTACATCTGTGCTGGTAAATGGAGTGGCAATGCTGAAACTCAGCTGCCTGTGCTGTTAAACATTCCCTGGCACAGCTTTGGCCCTGGCCAGCCAGAACAGTGCCTGGGTGTGGCTTAGGAGCCAGTGAAGGCAAGGAACCCTTCCTAATGGGCTGGCTTCAGGCAGCCAGTCTGTTTTGAATGGTGACAGCATTCCATAGTGCTAATAAAGCTAAGAGCACTCCCCAGACCAGCCAGTGTCAGTGCCATAGACAGTCTGTACAGAGATATATAGCCAATAATTCAGATCAAACTTCCATTAAAATCAATGCAAAACTTACCCTGAATTTAAGAAGACATAGATCAAGCTTCATCTGGCTGGTGCTAGCCAACATTATGTCTCAGGTACTTACATGCATTGAATTTCACTTCAGTCACTGCTAAATGGAAGTATTTGACAATAATTTATGACCTGTAACAAATCTCTTCTGTCAGTAGGCAGGTACTAGAGGCTTAAAGATATCAAACCTTTACAAGGAATTTGGTAGAAGCTGGTTTGCAGTTAGTCTGAAAAATACTTAACAGTTGTTACTTTGTCTAGATTTCTCACATACTTGATTTCATTACAAAATCTAGTTTGTTAACTTTGTATATTTTGCCAGAAAAGAAAGTCTTAAAGCCAGTCTTGTAATATTGGCAAATATATAAAAATTATAATATATAAAAATTGTGAAATTAGAATACTACACTTGTGAAATAATTTTGACTATTTGCTGTCCACTATCTGTAACATAAGTGGAAAAATATATTAAAATCTCTGAATGAGCCTTTTAGCTGTCAGCTAAACTGTGCATTAAATTTGCATCCTAGTTAGTGATGTTTGCTGCCTATTTTGCCAAAAACAATAAATCTTGTAGGTTGAGTGGTCAAATGATATCAATGACATGTGTGGGTTGTAAATGTCCACAACTAATAATTTCTCATATATTCAGTCTATTCTGCTAAACAGATCATTTACAGCCAACCCTGTCCTCTGTTTTCTGAAAGTGGAATAAGCCAGATTTTTCAGTGGCCACTAATGTACCAACCATAGAGAATTGGTGGCTATGCCTCTGCCCTAGCAATGAAATTATTTTTCAGATGGCATCTACTTTTATAGCGCATTTCATAGGTGTTCAGCGGCTTTGCAATTTTTCATCATAATTAGATTTTCTTTTAAACATTAGCTTTCATTAAAACCTTTGCTCACTACCACCTCCAAGTGGCTGCCACATTTCTCAACAGTATGAAATTTCCTACACCTGTTAAAAGCCCCCTTTGAAATGTGGCCGACTGCAGGACTCATTTCAAGTTGGGCACTGCCAGCCCCAGCCACTGCAGATGTGCCTCCTATTACAAGGGCTACAGCATCAGACCAGGGGTGCTGAGCAGTGCATTGTCTTGTAAGAGAAAGGGGCTCTGAACTTCCAGAGGCAAAGAAGAGATGGGAAACCCTAATGGGCTGTTCAGCTTGGTGGGTAAGTAAAATAGCAGACAATAGTTTTATTTTAGTAGCTTTTGGATCCATGCCAACATAGAAATTCTGTGTAGGAATAGAGTGAAAAGCAGATGAGGTGCAATGGACTTGAAGAAATAGCAAGCCAAGGCGATTTAGGAGAAGCCTGGATCAGAAGGAATAGTGGAATAACCTCAGAGCCACTGAGCTTGGCTTTCAGAAAAAAAAAATGACACCCCTATTTATATTGAATCTTTATACTAATGAAATTACCCAGATATTACAGTGATGAATTTCATAGGAAAACCTTTCCCATGAGGTTTATGATGAAAAAAAATCAAGTTGTAGCAAAGCTGGTGTTGATTATGGTACATTTGGTTAGAGTCCAGTTTTGTAAATGGGCAAAAGGGGTCTTCTCTTCTTCTCTAGATACCAGAAATATTGGCTTTATTCTATTTGCATTTAAATCACTGTATGTACAGAATGAAAAGAATTTTTGCTAAGATCTTTGCTAAAAAAGGGCTACAATTCTTGTACCACAAGCAATTCTAATTTTTAAGTTGTTATCAGTATGTTTCATGTTTTGTGAAATCAAGGTGGGAGTTTTTCTGTACATAATAAAGAGCTCTGTTTATTTGACATTTCTTTCTTAACACCTGTATGGACTTCACTCAATGTATATTATGGAAGTTTTAATTTATTTTTCTTATCGCTAATCTGGAAACAAAAACTTCTTTCTTGGTTTCTGTTTCATTTAAAACCATACAGGTTTAGGGAAAAAAAAACTGTCTTATTTTAACATTGTGCCGATGTTATAACACAGCAAGATCATTTGTTATTTTAATAATGATTTTCTATAATTAAAGCACCTTCATGACAGAAGTAAGCTGCATATAAAGAATATGATGCAGCAAAAAAGTGTCCTTCTGTTAAAAACCAATTGCAAAACCAAATTATGTGTATAGGAAATGTTCTGGAACACGCTTGCCTGTGACTTCCACTACTTAGAGAAATAGGATTAAACCTGCTTCAAGGGACTTTGACTCCCAGATAAACTCTGGGTTCTTTGATGTCATAGAAATGCCAAAGTAGGAGGTCTTTCTAAAAGATCAAATAAAACCCAGTTGAACTGTGAACTGCGAGTGAGCAAAGTTTTTAGATGCACTTCTAACCTACTTCTAAGTTTTACCGTGTGCATATAGTAGGGTTCAGAAACAATCTGTTGTAAATTCTTCAGCCAATTAGCTGAGTGAATTACCACCGTTTATAATGCGCAGAACGTGGAGGCTCTCTTGCCGTTGTGCCGAGTTGGATTGTTAATAACAGGAAGCTAGCACTTCTCAGTACAGTGGATCAGCTACATGTGAAAATAAATGTAAAAAACCTGGAGGGGAATGGCAGCAGACTGAGATTAGTCTTTATTTAATTTAGCATTTGGGGGTCCAACACACAAATGAGTGTTTTAGTAGGCTTCATGGTGGAAGTTGCTGTCATTTGTAAAATATTCTGGCCAATTAGCTAATAGTGTGCTTGGATTTCTCCTGTTTTGATACAGTAATACTAAGTACATTGTGAAGCCCAATTATACAAATCATCCCCATATGCCATACCAGTCTTTCTTTATGAACTGTGTTTATAAATCCTGTGTGAGGAAATGTGTACTTCAGCAATTTAGACCATGTGTAAAAACATAGCCAATAGGATTGTCAAGAAAACAAGTTCCAGCATAGGAAATCCTAATGTGTTCCGCTAAAATAACACGAGTGTGTTGTGTGAGTTTTCTGATTAAATGCTTATTACTTTATAGTGCTTAACCTGCACAGGTCTTCCCATTTCCCTTTTTATTCTTTCTTTCCTTTTTTTTTTTTTTTTTTTGCAGGATCCAAATTTGGAGTTTTTGAGGAAATTTGGAATTGGGCTAGTCTCAGGAACAATAGCCTCAATTATTAACATTCCTTTTGATGTTGCAAAAAGTAGGATTCAAGGACCACAGCCAGTTCCTGGAGAGATCAAGTACAGAACCTGTTTTAAAACTATGGCAACAGTCTATAAAGAGGAAGGGTAAAACATTCTTATTTTAATAAATGTCCTGACCTCTGTTTTAGTTTGTATGGGTCCATAAAACCACGTTGTTGTATTTCAGATTTGATGAGGACCATTAAACCATCCTGAATTCACATATCAAAAGAACCCAATGTAGCATTTTGAAAATTTATTTTAGCATTACAAGGATATATCTTCCTACTACATATGAACTTCTACAAGTGACTTACAAAATTATTATTACATTGTCAAAATTTATGTTCCCCAAGTAAATGCTTCATATATCTCATATGTAAATTTTTCCATTCTTCATTTTGCAAAAGGAAAATATGAACAGAAAACAGACTATTTCTCAATTTAATTTAATTTTAATAATGCAGGCCTCTGTACCTTTAAAATTATTGCTGAAATAATTAAACTGGGGACAGATCCTTTTGGTAATAACATTTTCCAACTTTTAAAAATATTTCTCAAGTGGTGACTGAGTTGTGGCTTTGATATTCAATTATATCAGTCATTTTGTCTCTATATGCAGCTGTTGTTAACAGACTTGTCTTGAAAGTAAACCCATCTCACTGATTAAAGTCATATTTCTGATTGGCTAGGCTTACAACATTGCTTTTGTGACTGAACATTGATTAACTTTTTCTCTTCATCTGATCTGCCTCTGTAAAATGTTAAAATCCAGATACAGCCTGCTATTGAACATGTGTAATTTCAAATAATTGCCTCTAAGTGCTTTGCCAGCATTTTAACAAACATATGCTACAATTCCGTTCTTCTTTTAAAGCAAGAATATTGTTTGAAATGTTTTGTTTGTTATTCTTCTGCTACAGATTTCTGGCTCTGTACAAAGGCTTGCTTCCCAAGATCATGAGGCTCGGTCCAGGTAATTTTCCTTCTGTCATTTCTATTTTGCTTTTGTTCTGGCTTTCTCTTCCCATTTTTACAGTTTCTTGAGAAAATGTAGTAAGTATCAGTCAAAGAAATGAATCAAAATATCCGTCAGTTTGAATGGTTTCTTTTTAAAATAGCATCATCTAGTAGTATCACAGATGGATTTGGCTAAATATGTGTCTAAAAAGAATAATTTACACGTATACATCAGAGAATTGCAGGTTCAAGTAAATGCTGGTTTGTGCAACTGTTTTATTTATGAACAAACCGAAGCACATGCAAATCACAGAACTGTGAAACTTTTGGATGTTTCTTTAAGTTTCCTATTCCTTCTTATGTGATGTTTTGAGTCCATTAACACTATTCCATACCTATGTGAAGTCAGCCTAAAATGCAGGTTAGAGTCTCGCCGTAAAATGCACTCAACTAGTCAAGGCACAGCCCAAGCATATCAAATTCCAGTTACTTTCTTCTCTCATGCACTATGGGGGCAGACACTAAAAAGCTGATAGCAGAGCTGGGAAGAGACTTGTATGGCCCTGGAAAACTAAGAGGACAAGGACATCTTAAAACTGGGGTTGTTGCTTGACCCCTTCTTAGTAATTGTTATTCCAAATGTGGGAGCACGGTGGTTGAAAGCTGTATCTTCCTTGGCTTTTAGAGTTTTTTTTTTCCTGACTGGTTTTGATTAATCATGAAAGCAAAGCACTGGGCCCTCAGACTTTGTCAGCCCACAAAGGCAGTCTGCGTCAAAAAGAGCAGAAGCCCAATTTGAGCAGTATCCCATTCCCATTAAATTGCATTTCCAGTTGTTCAAGCTGGTTGTTTAATATGCAAGAACACACATAGGTAAAGCAAGTAGGTACAGAGCCTGTTCTGCAGTATAAAGGAGGCATTAGGTTTGTGTGTAAATGTTTGCATATCCAATCCATCTGGCTGAGTACTAGACCATGCCTGGTTATTGTGCAGGACGAGGAAGGTGGGGAGGAGAAACAAGGAGCTCTGGAGCTAAAAGCCTTTTCCCTCACACTCCAAAGATACTAGATTACATCCAAGACAAAGAGAAGGCCGTGTTTAGCTTTCCCAGTACCTCTTAGCACAGCAGATTTTGGGATGAAGTTTTCTATCTTACAAATGACTATGCATTCTGGCCCACATCCAGCAAGTCAGTTACATGTGAACTTCATTCTAAATACTTCTGTAGTTATATTGGCTAACTAACATATAGGTTTAACTTTCTGATGAAACAATAATACAGTCTTTATTATGACTGGGAAGGTAATTCCTTCTTCCAGCATGTGAGTGTTTACAGGAAAAGAGATACACAAATAGATCACACAGTATGAGATTTGGAATCAGCCTTGATTTGAGTTCAAATCACATCTTAGACATTTTGTCTATGATTTGTTTGTTGGTCAAAGCCTTTTGCAAACATCTGCTCTGTCTAGCTCTCTGTGAGTTCCTTTTCATAGAGAGTTTCAAGTCTGGTGATGGTTCCTTAGGACAAATGATATGGAGAAATTAATGTAGAAATTCTGTGTGCCTGGTTGTCTTAGCCTATCCCTAGAAAGGAGAGCCCAGTTCAGCAGAAGCCTCGTTTGTTAGAGGTGCCACTCCAAGCCACCAACTGAACCAACAGGCAAAGGCAAGATCATATTTATGCCCCAGTGCTGGAACCCACAAATAATATATTTTTAATCATGCAGCCGGTTCCCTTTATCCAGTTCTCCATCTAGAAGCTTCTCTATCTGTTTAGTTATATATATATATATATATATATATATATATATATATATATATATATACATATATATATATATATATATATATATATATATATACCTTCTGAAATGTTCTCTTTCTTTATCTCACATAGTAATACAGCCCAGTTACAGTCTGTCTTCACTAACAGTAAAGATATTTTATGGCTTTCAAGCTGGGATTTTATACTGTTACCAATTCTAGCTAATAATGCAATTTCATTAGATCAAAACTTTGCCTGTGGATTTGTAGCCAGGAAAGATTATACTCACTTCCACACCATGATTTTCTGCTTTAGACATGGTGAAAAAACAGGTAAAAACCTCTCTTGACTCTTACCTGGAAATGTTTTTATCATCCTGAAGATGAATTTTTGCCATTCCACCAGTCAAGTTGCTCTTTCATGGCCAAATCTTTTTAAACAGGCACACAAATATACATATATTCAGACTAAAAGTGTCACTTTTAGAAGAACAAAGCAAAACATTAATCTTGAAAAAGTATTAGGAAAAATCACACTGAGAGTGAATTTTATTTAATATACAAGCTATTTACATAAACTTTATGATCTAATATTAAGTAAAATTGGTATGGTTTATGAATTGGTGAATTTTTAGTGAACTCAGGAAATAGACTTATCCATTTTGTAAATAAGGCTTTGCCATATTCTTGTTTATGTTACACTAGAAGTGCTCTATAATATCTTGCAAATACTGGATTTTCTATGTAGTAAAATAATATCTTTTCTTCCAGGTGGTGCAGTGATGCTTTTGGTTTACGAATATGTTTATGCATGGCTCCAGGACACAGTTAATCACAAGGAGCATTTCTGAAAAAACATACTCTTTAAAATTGCGTGCATTCTAAAATACCCTATAATAAAGCCAAAGTGATTCTTATCCTTTATGGTGTTGAATACCCTCAGATTGCACTGATGTTAATACAATTCCAAACAAATATGGTCTCTAGGTCCTGATCCAAGAAAACATTTAAGTACATGTTTTTCTGTAAGTGCATAATTAAATAGCCCTTGACATTTGTAATTGTTTTACTGGACCAAGAGAAAATATAAAGCAGACTTAAGACTGAGTTTTCAAAGGACAAACTGAAATTTTGTCGACACAGAATCATCCTATGCATACTTCTTAAAAAGTTTCAGCTGAAATGGCAAAATAGAAACTATCAGGGTATTTTAAAGGAAAAAAGGAATAATCCTGGGGGGGGGGGGGGGGGCAGATACTAAGCTAATGTAAACTGACAGCTCCATTTACTCCACATTAAGAAAATGATCCATACTCTGCAACTCTTCAATCAGTCTTGGGTCCAGTTTCAATTCAGCCCAGTATGATTTCAGCATTCATATAAGAGCTTTTCAAGTTCTTTGGAGTTTGGATAGAAAAGAACAGCACAAGTAGCCACAACCTTAAAAACATGCATACTGCTAAATATACTACTTGTTCTTAGCCATATATATTATATAAATCTCATTCAGATCAAAGATACTGAAAGTAATTAGGATGCATCAAGTTGCATAAAAAGACAAACCAACATGGGATTCATAGAAGAAATGAGTAAATAAATTAACAGAAAGAAATCATTTTAGGCACATGACACTCTACTGCAAATTTTTTTTTCACTTTGACATACTATCCCAAAAGAGCTGTCCTGTGATAAAAATGCTCAGTGCACCCTGACTGCCCCTTTAGCCTTTCATTTCCACCATGGAATGGTGAAACAAGGTAGCCTATCTGCAGTTTTATATTGCTAGCCATACACCTCGAAGAAATGCACCTTTCTGTAGATTAAAAAATGTTGCTCTGAAGTTAAAATTTTTCCTTTTCCCAGTCACTGTAAATGTAAATATTCCAGGATGTACTTGCATTCTTACTAGCCATTCCAACTCTGTGAAATACAGTAAATTCTGTTATGCTGACTCAAGACATAGTTTTTGTTCATGCAGTTGTGCCATTGTACATTTTCTCTTTAAAAACTCCTTAAATAATTAAAAATCACACATCATTCTCTTAAAATATATAAAATATATAGATATATAAAATATAAAAGTGTCTTCATTATCAAACTTGGTTTGATATCAAACAAGCATATATCTTGCAAAGTTTCAGTATCTCCCCCATACTACATTCACTCTGTTGGCAATAATGTTCTTTCTCTGAAGGAGGGACAACCCTTTTCCTTGGCAGTCCTAAAGAAGCACCTTTCTGTGTTGTTACCTGAAAACGCCAGTTCACATGTGAAGTCTCATCTCACAAGTGTTTTTAATGCATTGGAAAAGCAACAAAAAGCTAAAAATAGAAATGTGTTTTCAGCACTTTCAAGGATGCCTGTATTAACATGCTCAATAAGCCTCTCTTTTGTCTGAATTTGGCAATGGTGGTTTTTCATACCTATGCTATTTCATAACTAAAAATCAATAAAATCAGCTCTGTTAAAGTTTATGGTTTTAAGGAAAGTGTTCCTTGTTACAGCATTTTATTATCAGTATTTGGCCAAAGAGAAGACAATACTAAGATAATTTCAAAAACTAAAGCAAAATGCTTTATAATTTGTCTTTTATTAATTTAGAGCATTCAAAATATAAAAATAAAATGCTTTAAACATACTTTATATACATATATAGCCTTTGGTTTTACATCCTTTCCAACATGATTTTTTTCAGTTCATAGCTCAGCCTGATCTTGGATAAAAGGAGAAACATTCAAAAACAGAAAACAGCATGGTATGGGGAAACAAACCTATGAATGTGCCAGCCCAATGCCCCATTACTCCTTGTGTAATATGGGCTGGAATTCAGTTTTACACCAAAGATCTTCTGAACTGGGACCATGCAAACACGGTTGAGTTGAAGAGAGTACTATTGGGCTTCACTTATTTCTTTGGAAACATTTAACACTCTGGAAATGAAGTGTAGACTTTTCAGATTAAAAAAATTAATTCTGCACCCACATATACAGAATATTTCCCAAAGGTACCCATTCACCTCAGTGGGTTCACTCCAGATTTACACCCAGGTACCTGACAGCAGCAGTTAACCCTTATTTATTATTTTTTAGGAGACAATTCCCTTTTTTTTTTTAATTTGATGTAAAATGGCTTAGAGTTGTGTGATAAGTGAACATATTGCAGTTTTCAGTTTACCCGTTAGTATAAGCAGTGAAATAGTCCTTGGGCAAAGGAGTATTCGACATAGTAGGTTTACATTAAAAAAAAAAAAAAAAAAGGGAAACTTCACACCAAAAAACTCCATGACAGGCAGTTCACCAAGAGCCAAGGTCAGGCACTGTTGCTCACTCTGAGCAACATTTTCTGCACGCAGCCCCACTGACTTCCCAATCAGGGGTAAGGAATCATGTACAGCAGGCAGATGCATGGAGAGCTGTACCTAAACAAACACAAAACAAAAATGGTTTATGATGGTGTATCCCATGGGAGGAATAATTAACATCATGTCCTGTCCTTGTTTTATAAATTATCCTGGTTTAGCTGAGGATAATGAAAATAACTGATACAAGCTAAGGATCTGTCTGTCTCCCAAAACACACTAATTCCTCATTGGAATGTCAGGAAAGACAACTCTTATTCCAGAAATGACCTCATGTTACTCAAGAAAATTTGGAAAAGTTTTAACACAGGCACACTTTGTTACAGGCTTGCAAAGTCTTGAAGCTCAAAAAAACTGTGCTTTGAAAAGCTTCTCTTCCTTAGTTTTTTTGTTTTCTTTTCCCTTTGGTGCCCCTTGTTTGAGTTCTATGGAAAACAATAGGTAGACTCACTCAATAATTCTGTAATCCAGTAGAACAACTAAGTTGAAAGAGAAAATCCTCTTGCCAACTTAATCACTTATCTATTTATGAGCTTTTTCTTATCTTTTTTACCCATTTTGTCTTTAGTAAAGAGCTTGTCTAGTATTAAATTAAATTCTTATTTCTTTTTCATGTTGTTAAGGCTCATCTTATTTCAGCTATAACAGCATAAAGGCAGAACAACATCCATCATGTCACTAACAGTGTGGCAGAGTGGAAATGCACTTGTGTGCACTTTAACTTTAGTGGTTTCAAAGAAACATTCTTGAAAAAGTGTTCTACTGAATAACGAGGGTTTCAGCATCTCATTAAAGCTAAACAGCTGTTGGATACCTTTGAGGCTGAAGAAAATTAATCGCATCCAAGATCAGATCTTTGTTTCCTTGGGGCAAAAATATAATATCTGTGTTCTTTACAGAAATGTAGTTCTGTTAGCAATTTTTTAGTGCAAGAAGCAAAGGTGGCAGTAGCCAGAGAAGTCCATCCATATTTCAGTGGACATACTGTACATGACATAAATACTGATTACTTAGATTGTTATGAAAATTTACCCACAGTTGTCTTGGTGATGAAAGCTGGAAACCCACAAAAAGATAACTATATTTTAAGAGGGAAATGTATTTTACTTTCTCACTGAATTAGTGTTTAATATGGGATGCAGATAGAACAATATATGAAGAATAGTATTTTCTTCTTTGCTTTAACTATGTCTACAGTAATTTAAGTTATTGCAAAACACTTTTAAAAATACACAATATATTAATAGTCTATGATGGATATGAAATGTCACACCAGGCTTTTTTTTTCCACATTCATATTCTGAACATACCTACAGCATGGGAAAATCATAACAATAGTCAGAACTTTATTATTGCCCAAGGAAAACAGGTAAATTTTCAAAAATCAGAATTTTATCTCTCTTGGGATTAAAGTTGAAAGCAAAATAACTGGCATGGAGTACTTGCCACTGCATACAGAAATGTAGAGAGGAAATTTGCTAATATTAAATAATATCTCTGTTTGTAGCACCACCACCAGTATACCTATAAGGGGAAAAAATGCTTCAGAACAACAATGTAAACTTTACCAAGAGCCATACTTTACATTCATTAAAGCAGAAAGTAAAGACAAGGTCCTCTTTAAAAATTACAACATAATCTGGACACAAGTGAGCTGAGAATGATGGTACAATTCTGTTTCTCAGTAGAGTTTTTGACTGATAGGGCTTTTTAAGCATCTCCGCACAGGTTGCACACTAACAGCATTTTCCTCTACAGCTTTCTGTTTTATTCAGGTATTTTCCACCCATATTTCTGTTTGTATACCTCATATGAATGTGTTGTTTCATGAATCTGGGAGGCTGGGTATAACTGGAGAGTTACTTAGCTGGATTTCTGCCTTTTTGACTCTTCTGCCAAAGAGATAACTATCTCAAAAGATGATGAAGCCTCCACTGTAGGCACAAAAACATGACCAAAAACCCCTACCTAAAACCTCATCACCCATCACCCCACCATGCAAAGACATAGAAAATAACTAGAAATCTCCTTAACTTAAAAAAAATAAGAAAAAAGAAAAAAGTAAGAAATGTACTGGAAGTTGAAAACAAATGCTGTCAAAAGCCTCTATTTACAAATGGATAAAATCACAAAGATCTTACTACTGCCTGACGATGGCAACATGCCAGAAGAATCTGAAAGCCACCTATTGCCTTCATTCTATGTTTGATTACCAAAACCCAATAAAACAACAATAAGGGACCTCATAATAACAGTGGATTGTATAATCTCATCAATTAAAGGGTTGGTCTCTAGGCATTTGGCAAACACTTCCCATTCAGCCACCTTTGCTTATTCAAGGCATAGCAGAATTTTCTGTAGTGATTTTTCTTTATTGATTTTTGCACAAATCTTAGTAACAATTGCACATTTAGAAAGTTTGTGATGATTAAGAATAAATATGTGTGGTTTGACCAGGAGAGAGTGGAACAAGGCTCCATGAGCCCTTTGAGGGACACAAAGTCTTTAAGAGCGCAACACCACACTTCTCTCAGTTTCTGATGTTGTCTTCAGCTCTTTAATCCCAAAAGCTTTAGGGGAGACAAGTCACGAGGAGAAACGCCAGGTGTGGCCAGCATGAGGAGAGCAGTCCGTGAGCTGGGCTCAGGGGCCGAGGAGCCGGCAAGCTCATGGTGCTCCTGGAGCAGCTCCTGCATCAGAGAGCGGAGGCCGTGACGGAGTGGCTGCCCTCCCTGGCAGTCTGCATGCCCTTGAAGGCCAGCGAGGCGGGGATGTCGCAGCTGTGAGGGGACAGTGGGGTGCCCCCGGCATGCTGCCAGCCATGACTCGCCATGTAGCTGGATGGAGTGGCACTGTACGTCATGTACG